CAGCCGGGGCTGCCTCGGGGCTCCGAGACAAGCGCAAAAATACCGGGATCATCTGGGGCTGAGTAAACCCCTTCGCTCGTCAAAGCGCCGCTGGCAACTGCACCTTTCTGAGCCCGGTTCTGGCATTTTCTGGGTTCAGATAATGTGCTTTTAACTCATTTTTTATTTATTTTTTACAACTTCTGCGTTTCGCACTTGACTCTCCTGTCTCTGTTCCTCTTTCTCTGAGTTACCATAAAGATTTTACCTACATTTTATGTGTCCTAACATGGAAAATGACAAGGTAGCGACTATGAAATACTGTCAGATGAACAAAATGGGCAAAGTAGAAAGCATATATTTTGCTTATATTTTGCTTATATTCTTTTCCTATTGTTCTACTATAACTGCACAGTATTTTCAGGCAGAAATTTAACTTTCCATTTGATCTTAATTTTTGCCTGCAGAGCTTTTATTTTTTTAAGCTAGTGAACCAAAGGAGGACTTTTTATTCAGAAGTCTTACAGAGTTTTTTAAGTAAGACTTTGAGCTGGGCAGGCTGCTTTTGTTGCTCTGGCAAATTTTGTTGCCATTTCTTTGTACTTACTCCCTGTGATTTCAGAGGACTCCGTTCCAAAGAATGAGAAGAAAAATAACTGGGGGATAGGGAAAGGAAAAATATTGAGACCTGGATGAAGAGATGGAACTTACAGTCCTAGTCTGAATTTGATAAAACTAAAGAGGGAACCTAAGAAAGGTGCAAAAAAACCCCCCCAAAACCTACAACAAAACAGAACAAGTAGACTATCTTCCATCTTCAGGTGCAGACAGATCTCTACATTGGACATTCCCCTGATTGTTTTAGGATTAGTATTATAGTCCTTGTATTACCTACAAGACTAGAGATGAGGCCTCCCCTTTACAGACACAGAGAAAGAGAAAGCCTTGTCCCAAAAAATCTGAGAGTGTAATCACCATGGAAGAAGGGGGGCTGGTGACAGGGATATGTGAAGTAACTTGTCACACAGTAAGCGGCAGAGACAAGGAATAGCTCTCCTTTGAAAAGGGCAAACTATACTTGATACTTCAAGTGATTTCCAGACTTAGATCTTTCAAGTTCCCAGAGGAAATAATAGGGCTGTGGAAAGCCCAAGTTTATCCTCCTAACTGACCTTAAATTCAACAAAGCACACAGACAATATAAAGAATGCTGGATCACATGGAAACTGTTGTTTTCGGGACTTACGCACTCAGCTGGAGATAGGCGAGCCCTGATCTTTAACCTTAGCGAAGACATCTGGGACATCAAAGCATTCCACTTTTTTTTTTTTTTTTTTTTGAGCTGATCATAACTTAATTCAGGCAACAAGTATGGTCTCTCTTGAATCACCAAAGCTCATTCATCCCTGGAAACTTTCATCTTTTTAAGTTTTCATCACTTTCTAGAAGGGCGTACTGAAAAACTGAGATCTAAAGGGCTAACTAATCGTCTAATGACTCAGCTAAAGCTGGGGAGATTCAGTGGGAGGAGAAGTTTGCTGTGGTGTGGGGACAGCTTCAGCAAATGGAGCAGGCAGATTGGGACATAAGCAAGACAAAACTAGACTGAAGTATCTCCTCTTCGTTTGTTTTTAAAACATTGGTCAAAAATGAGAGATGCTCGCCAAGGTCACATGTAGCCTCTTATCAACAGCCTTGCACTGGGAGTCGTCATAAATTTTCAAGCTGCAAAACCACTCTTGTTTCCTTTCTCTTCAAAAATAGACACGAGACTGCAAGGAGGCATTTACTGTCATCTGTATCCTGTTTACAGATCTCCTAGTTCTGGCTTCTCTCTGCCTATGCTTGCTTTTTCCTTACTAAAAAAAAAAAAAAAAAAAAAAAAGAGGGGAAAAAAAAAAAAAGAGAGAGGAAAAAAAAAAAAGCCCTAGATGCCTGATTAAGAATCAAACAAAAAAGCACAGTCACTGCAAATAAGCCTGAGGAAGCGTCGCTGCCTCCAGCAAGAGACTCTGCTATTCAGTTAAGAAAATATGGTGTAGGTGGGACTTAAGAGGCAACAGGATAAGAACCATGCGAGTGTTGAGGAGCAGAAGGGGAGCTACATATGGAGGTCATAGATAAAACAAAGTACCACATTGCTGGGATCACAAGTTCCGTGGCAATTTGAGAAGCAGGCTGTCAATGTGTCTTTAAAAAATACTGGTATAAAAAGGGGAATAAATGAAGGCAATTATGTATCCTTTTTTTCCCATGTTTGTGTACGCATGGCTCTGAGTGCAAACATGCAGCCTCAGAACAGATCTGCTACAAGGTTATTTGTAAAGTGATTTAACTGGTTGCCTGGCGTCGAACCTGTGATACACATGTTGAGGGCTCCTGGATAACTACAAAGGGAACCCACGAAAAAGAATATAGAAAAACTAACCTGTTATCCAACTTAATGTATGAGAGACTCAGGGGAATCTGTAGTTCCAAAAAAGGATGAAAACCAACATATTAGTGCAAGTAATTTTTTTTTTTTCTTTTCTCATTTATTAAAATACAAGTTTTCATTTCCCCTTGATAGATTTAGGTTAACTTCAGAAGAAATTCATCCCTCTCTCCTTTAAAAACTAATACTGCTTCAGAAGAAAAAAATCCCATACCTAGCATTAAACAGCTAGTATGATTTTTCTCAAACATTATCTCTAGGAAATTTGAAATTAAATATATATGTTGATGCAACATAGCAATTTTAAAATAGATGAAACCTCGTGTCTCTATGATATGATTACATCTTAAATACTCAAAAAAAAATGAGGTGATTAAACAGTCATGAAAGCTTTGAGTCACATATATTGCACTTGTAATGTGGAATCATTTATCTCCCCTCAAACATGCAGCTCTTGCTGGAAAAAATTGGACTTGTGTACAGTGAAGTATTTGGAATATTGTAAAGATTTTTAGTTATTCTTGTTAATCAATTAAAGCAACTGCTGCACAGCCAATTCTGTAAGCTCAGAACAGCAATGAAAAACCTGTATATAACTAACTTCCATTGTACTGTCTCATAAATGTAGTATTTAGTAGAGTAGCAAAGCTTTAGCAGTAGCATACTACATCTAGGCAAAAAGCTGTTGTAGTTCAGTTTTATTACATGGGGTTTTTTAAATGGCTGCAAACTTGCCTTCAGTGTGATCTTGCCTCTGAGAAATATTTCACTGCTGAAGTTTTGCTGCACTGGTGTGAGTCATACTTGGGTTCATTAGTGTTGTGTACCTTTGTGCAACAGGAAGGGTAGACAGACAGACTCACATTTTATTAAAAAAAAAAATGAGTGGATGTATTTGCTCAAAGTTTCCAATTAAAATCCACCTGCTAGAATGAATGCTAATTACTCATTAAACAGTTTTATTGACAGTGATTTAGATGCTGATCCTGTCACTTTTTCCATCAGGACGCTGCTGGTTTCCAGGTGCACAAGGTTACTTTTAGGACCAGGGGTGCCTTTGGGAGTTATTTGAATACCTAAAAGAAATCCATCCTTGATTATATCAATATTCCAAAGATTTTTATAATGCCAGAAAAGAGATTGCATGCTTCTGCTTCTAAGAACTCTGCTGGTATGATATTTTGGGTGGGAGAAGATGAGTGGTACTAAGATGCTCTTCTTTCCATGTCACAGACGTTACCCCCATCGTTGAAATACACGCCGAGAGCTTCCACGGGTCGACACACGTGCCTGTACCATCTGACAGCACTTTTCCTTAAAGCCTTGCTTTTTGAACTAAGACTCATAGATGAGCACATTTTTGTGGAGCACTGAGATACTCGTACTCAGATCAGTCATTCCTTCGTATATTCAGTCTGCACCAAAAGAAGGGATCTCTGGCCCATGATTGCTTTTCAGAAGAGCTGTCTGACATAGGAGTGTCTACCACTAGTTGAGAAGACCTTGGATCCACAGCCACCCCTCTGCACCGTTACTGGGCTCTCCCAAGGACTGACTCTTTTGTTAGGCATCATGGATTACATCTGTCCAAGTAGGAAAAATGAAGCTGAGTGTGAAAATAGGCCAGCTTTGAACTTTGCTTATATAGGCCTGTCTGCTTGGCAGCCCCTTAAACACAAACACACGCAGCTTGAACAGCTCATTTGATGACATACAGGAAATGCCTACGGATGAGAATCAACCAGCTTGGAGATCCAACACATATAAAAGCAAACCTCAAGTTAATGTCTGTATCACTGAAAGAGTCAAGTGCATGCAGTGGGACAAAAGACATGTTGCAGACACGTGGCAAGTTTATGGAGCTGTAAATTTCAAGGTGAGAACATTTTTTGTGCAAGTCTGACCAAAGTATTTTTCATGGAAGCAACTGGGGAAGTAAATACTCATGTCATTTTACTTTGGTATGTGATCAGTGAGTTTCTAATACTGTAATATTTCAAATGGGGGATTTTTTTTAATCTTTACTGTTATTTTCCTCTATGCTTCATGCATTTTTGCAGTAGCTATTCATGGGACTTAAATTTCCAGCAGTAGCTATATTGCATGTATTTTCCCAAATTTTTCTTATTTTAAACAAAATAAGGAGAAATCATTTTACATCTAGAGTCTCTGAAAATAGAGACTAAGAAGTGGTAGTGCTAACACCAAGTTTATTTCCAGCTATCTAATAAGCAGTGTGTTAAATAATTATTAGAAACAGAATTTCTGAATGAGTCTTCTACAAGTGTCTTTATATGAGCATTTTTAATTACTTTTCCTACCAAATGAAAGTCTAATCCTCTGTACTGCTTTATTCTGTTACAACAGCCTTTTCAATCAAAAAAAACCAAACCCAAAATTGTTGATACAGAATCTGGTGAAAGAAATTGGTTGTACAATTATTTTGAATGTTTTTATATATGACAATGGTTTTCATTGTTTAATACTAAAAATTGAGGAATATTGACTAAATAGATCAATAATAATTATGAAATACGTTGAAATTTTTGTGTTCTGTAGTTGGTTTATTCAACATTCTTTGTCCTGAATTATGCTTAGGAAACACACTATGTTATCACAGTACACTGTATTTGTAAATGCCAGTGTTTTACGAGGAGAAAGACCTAATAAAGTGGATCATGGTAATTTAATTATTTACAAGAGGTGGAATACTCATCTCTGAAGGAAACCAACCAAAGTTCTGCACTTCTGAAGACCAGGTTATTTCCCACCAGCCATGCTGGTAGGGATTATGTGGGTGAACAGCTTCCTGCTCTCAGAGGGACAAGTTTCTAGGTCATCTTGCAGAGTGGATGTCCTTACATAAGAAGAAAGCCCTGGTGTAATCGTGCACTGCTGAGCTGGCACACGGAGGGACGAGACAATGGATGCTCTGCACGTGGTTGCTGTGAGAAAGCTGACATGGGACCACAGTGGCCATTAATAGCATGCTTGGATCTATTAAGTGGATGTTGTAAAAGTAACTGAATTAATTAGGCTATCACCAAGTGCGTTTATGTAACATTCATAATGATGAAGCTCTACAGTAAGTCCTTAGCTTGCTTATCTGCTGTTCTTCTTGTCAAAGAGTACTTGTCAATTAGGAGACATTCAGCTAAGACTGCGTCATGAGCTCTGCCGTGAGAAGGGCTGTACTATGGGAAAGTGACTTCATTTTGAAAGTATTTGTCAATATTAATGTTTGAAAGCTTTAGTGTGATTTTATTTTAATGCTCATATTCCATTTTCAAACATCTAGTTCTGACTTGAGGGAGATATTCTAGAATAACTTCTTAACTTCATTTTTTCAAGGGTGACATCGAGGGATCTGCGCCAAATGTCACCCTCAGTTTGGATCTCCCGACTAATGGTCCTCCACTCCAAGATATCGTGGTCCATCATTGTATGACTTCTGTTGACCCTACCATGCTGATGTCCAGTAGTGCCAGGCCACTGGATGATGATTCTGTCTATAATGGATCTTAAAAATTTCCTTTCATTCCTCCTTCAGATTCATTCAACTCATGTTACTACACTTCCCAGGTACTAACATCCCTGACCCTTGTTATTTCCCTGTATTCAAACAGGAATAAAAAATACCTGTATTGTTGAATGTGTCTGAGTGAGTTTCAGTCAAATACAGGTGGGTAAAATGTTTTTTAATATAATAAACTGCTTTGAAGGCACTTTAGGACTTGAGCATCATCTGAGTCACGTTCAGGAGGTGCCAATACCTTTGACTGCTTGGCATGGCTGCTCTTACTTTAAATGTACCACTTAGATGCCTGAATTAAACAAAATAAATCCAGGCTGAGATGTCACATGCATATACCACAAATCTGCAGCCTGAAGAGTTTGGTGCAGTCAGCAATTGATATTTTATTTTTGTTTGTTATTTTTTAAAAGTACTTCAGCAATTAAAACAGTATATAACTGATATTATGATGATGATGTTAATTTATCTGGAGAATGGATAAAGTTTTCTTGTTCCACCAATTTTGGGATGTTATCAACTTATTGAAAAGGGATCACACTTAAAAGCAGTTAATATAAAGCTTCATGAAGGCATAAAGAATTATTTTTAGTGCTGTGAAGCTTGTATACCTTTTTTCAACAGGTAAGAATAAAGAAATCTTGAATAAATTTCTTCCATTTCTCTGTGATCTTCCTGAAATTAACCTGTTAGGAGTCAATATAACAGGCTGTGCTCCATCAAAGTACTACCAGTGGACACCAACCTTGCAAATGTCAGGAAGCCCCCTTGGAATTCTTGTCATTTCCAGAATCATAGAATCATAGAATCACAGAATGGTTTGGATTGGAAGGGACCTTAAAGATCATCTAGTTCCAACCCCCCTGCCATCAGCAGGGACACCTTCCACTAGACCAGGTTGCTCAAAGCCTCATCCAACCTGGCCTTGAACACTTCCAGGGAGGGGGCATCAACAACTTCCTTGGGCAACCTGTTCCAGTGTCTGACCACCCTCACAGTGAAGAACTTCTTCCTAATATCTCATCTAAACCTCCCCTCTTTCAGCTTAAACCCATTTCCCCTTGTTCTGTCACTCCCTGCCCTTATGAAAAGTACTTCCCCAACCTTCCTGGAGCCCCTTCAGGTACTGGGAGGCCACTATAAGATCTCCCTGGAGCCTTCTCTTCTCCAGACTGAACAACCCCAACTCTTTCAGCCTGTCTTCATAAGAGAGCTGCTCCAGCCCTCGGATCATCCTGGTGGCCTCCTCTGGAATACAGAAATTGCACCAGAATATTTGGTAACATTCTGCATATTTCTGTTGCAGATCCTGTTTCCCTGTGGTATTTTTTCACATGAAACGCTGCCACAATCCTCCAGGTGGATTAAGTCTCGAGATCACTTCCAACCCAGGGTTACCTGTTCCTTAAGACTGCTAATCCTACCTACAGATCAGCTTATCAAAAACACGGTTATTTAAAATTAAAACGATAGTTTTCATTTAAGCCTCTCGGACAAACTGCCATGACTACACCGTCGCATAATTATGAAAATTTAAAGCTGAAATGATACAAAGTTGCTGATGCTGATCATAGTGTTAATAAAATATTATCAGTGAACGGGAGACAGTAAACTATCAACAGCTCTTTTATGATTACTAGGTTGAGACCGTGGTGATTTCCTCCTGCTCTGTAATTTCTTTTCATAAATTAGCAGCGTGCTCAAATAGGTCTGATTTGTCTGTATGCACATAAATAATGTCTTTCAGCATTTTGTTACCCTCTTTAACAAAATGGGTGGTAACAAATACTGAATTATACTAATTCCAGTGGTTTTCTTTCTCTTCTGTCATATGTAGGGGCCCAGTCGCTCAATTAGGGTACAAAGTTAGTTATGACCAATGGGATTTGTCATGAGAGAAGAGCCTACTCGTTTGGGTCATCGGTAAGCTGAATACCCCTGTGCACTCCTCCTTCCTCCCCCAGTCAGTTTTGTATAGTGTATAATTTCTTATAGATGCTGTTTCTGGCTTTAGGACTGAAGTTCCCTACATCTTTGGAAGTTTCTTTGACCAGAATCATGTCTTCTGGCCCTGCAGGCAAATAGCACCCAACTGATTATGTTTTCACTGGGAATACTGCTTATGTAAAGTAAGTTGCAGGCTCTGTGAAAAGAGGCCTTACTAGTCCTTTTCTTATTATCTTAAATTGTCAATGAAATAACTTGATCTTAATTCAGACATAACTGTTAGCCTCTTTGTTCTCAGCCGGGAGTTTTTCTGTTTTCTTGCTTACAGGATTTGACATCCTGTCATTTTGTGAGTACACTTGCACACCAGGAGCATGTAACTCGAATTGCTGGCATTTGCTCAGCAAGCATGACAATATACCATCTGATCATGTTTTCCCTCTTTCTGTAGCTGTGTTTTAGGATCTCAGATTTCACCCTAACTGGATGTTATGTAGACCAGCATCCTGTTCAAACCTTCACGCTAGGAAAACCCGAAATTACTGCATGTGAGTTGCTAAAAATGTCCTGTATTTAACTGAAACTGCGTATTGAAGTTACGAACTGGATGTCAGTGACTGAAATTATGTAGCTAAAGTTGCACAGAGCTTTTTCCTGGATTGCTTGGAACATCCAAGAAGTTTTGTTCCCTACTTCGTATTTTTTTTTTAATTTTTGTGATGCTTAAAGCATCCCTAGAGTAGGGACTGGCATCTCCTTTTCAGATGAAAGCTCTTATTACTCAGTTACAAAGTCAGGCTCTCTCTTGGGCTCTCTCCCCTTCACTCTTTGATGTTTTACTGTGCTCTGCATAGTGGCAGAACTTTTACTGGGGGGGCAGAGAATACCTCTGTGTAGTCTGGCCTCTTGGTTAGGACATTTTTGTCAGAGATGTGATATGTGGATTTGAAATACCCAGGTACAGAGCTCAGCTCCTGCCTGCAAGGTGAGACTTGCTATCAGTGGCATCACACCAGCATCCCTTGGTGGATGTGGTACTACACTGAATTTGTGGAGCAGAAACCAAATCTGCTTGGTTTTGAGTTAACATGTGACCGCTTCCAAGTCTGCACCAAAAATACAGTAATTTGGAACACAGCAGGCACTCATTAAATCTGAGCAGTACTGTTTAATGGAAACATTTTTATTTGTTGCTGTTTATCTGTTGCAACTTCTGTCAGTCACGTTAGCAGAATTGTGTAAACGCCTTTTGAAAACCTGGATCTACACTGTTAATTTTGTGGCAGGTCATTCAGTCCTAAATTGTAACACAAAAAAAAGCAACATTTTCATACGGTATGTTTTAGATTGGGTATGCAATTTATATTCATTGAACAAAATCCAAGCCATCCACCTGCTTTTGACTTAACCTCTGTTTGAATTTTAAGCTCATGACTGATACATTAGTAAAGGTAATTGAAGCTGAGACTTTAAATGTCCCATTATCAGAAACGATTTTCAAATAATAGTAAGAGTCTTACAGTTTAAAGAGGCCATTATACCTTTTCTGTAAACTAGTAAGGATGGATTAGTAGTCTCTTAACTTGGATGAAGGAATGTCTGATTGTAAAGCACCCTGTAATGCTTATTTTTCTTGCCTTTTTTTTTCTTTCTTTCTTTTTTTTTTAGCCTGGGAACTAATTTCTTCTGATTACTCCATCTGGAATTCCAAAGCACCAGGACCTATGGTGTACAAAATTGAACTTGACCAGTTTGCTTTTGAATTATTTTTGTATTTAAACAAAACAGGCAGCAAATGAGAGTAATGTCATTATATGATACAGTGAAAATAAATATTCTCCAGCACTTGTCCTTTGTATGTTTGCTTAAAAACTTATGTTAAGGAAAAACAAAAGATGTCATTGCTCTTAAAAACATAAGTTGTTTTTTGTTTTAAATTGTTTAGTCCTGGGTAACAGCTTAGAGAAGATAACCTGAAATGTACTTGCCATGGCCATTTTTACTTTCCCTTCTAGCATTAACTGGTGCAAAGTAAGTACCTAGTGATACAAACACAGACTGGTGTAATCGGGTGTGGTGGTCTATCCTAGCAAAACCAGGACATTGGGCATGTCTTCTGGGAGGACTCCCAGTTACTTCACTGGTTTTGTAAACCAAAGAGCTCGTGAAAGCTTCCAGTGTCTTGTTCCTCTCATGAAGTCGCAAGAATCTGATTAGAGCTCAGATTAACAGGACAGTTAAAAGCCAGAGTTCTGTTATTTTCAAGAGATGCATACAGAATACATATGTGTCATTAATTTACAAGAATGTTAAGAGGGAGAGCATGGCATAAGTGGCACTTCTAAAAGTGGAGATGGTACAGGGGTCTTTATTGCCCCTCTGAGCAGAAGTGGTGAGTTCCCATTCTTACATGCCTGTGAACTGCGTTGCAGTGAAAGCTCGAGTTAGCCAGGATCCAGAGGTGTGAACTTGGTTTTTCAAATCACAAGACTAGCTCTGAGCAGGCAAAACCAGCTAAGTTTGCTGGAGGTTCCAAAAAAATGAGGTTCCAAATCACTGAGACATTTTCCCTAGAAAAATAGGTGGAAGAGGATTCAGTTTAGAGGCAGACCTCTAATTTTGAGAAGAAAATTGGTATCTGCAGGAACACAGGAAATGGACTTCAAGAGAGTTATCAGGAAATGAACAAATTCTGAAAGGCAAAAACTGAGAGAACCTGGAGAGCAGCACAAAAGAAGAGAAGAAAGCTGTCTAATAACCGAGCGCGCCGGCTGCTCCTGCCGTACCTCTGGTTTAACTGTACGCTGTGTGATAGATAAGATTAGTGATTATGTAAGGAGAAAAGTTTTAAGCTATAATTTTAAAAATACTTAGATTGAGATAGTAATCTAATTGGTTAGTTACATGTTCTAAAGGGTGGATTAATTCATGCAAAACATGCCATTCCACTAAAACTGCTGTGATCCATTGCAGACAGGTGATGTGTCCATTTTGATTAGCAGGCAAAAGGTGAATTAATGGGGTTTTTTTCCCAGAATCCAGCCCCTACCTGTTACAGTCACCTGCATGCTTGTACACCACAATGTGAGTGGGGAGAGGAGATCTCTGTTTTGGAAGGGTTTAGATCATGTTCTGTAAGCCAGGCACCCGTCACAGGATTTCAGTCTGTGGTGTTTGCTTTCCATATACCCATGAGAAGGACAGGAGCTGTCTATTCTGCACAGCAGCACCGTGGAGCGTGGGAGAATGGCTCTTCTTCACAGCATTTCCCCAAAAAACAGTGGCACTGTCAAAATTCACAGCACATTAGAAGAGAATCCTCATGCACTTATTAGCAGGGGGTGCTTCCCAAATCATGTTCCTCTTTATTTCTCTCTTTTCCATGTCTCTAGGTCTCTGAAAGTTAGGAGAGCTGCAGAGCTCAGGAATGCAGGGCTGCTGGTTTAGATTGCTTTGTGCACACCTCTCAATGCAGGTTTGGATGGAGGGAAGGGACAGCTGATGTTTCTCTTCTAGCCCTGAACAGTTTACTACAACTTCATGCAAGCCTAAGGGTTTGCTACATAAACCTCTGGATTATAACTCTAGCACACCCTTGCTGCAGTGCTCTGCTTCATAAATCTTAGGAAGTTAGTAAACTGGTAAAGTTTGCTACTACTTGAGGCCTACAAGAAAGCTGAGGAGGGACTTTTTACAAGGGCAGTTAATGACAGAACAAGGGGTGATGGCTTTAAACTGGAAAAGGGGAGGTTTAGATGAGATATTAGGAAGAAATTCTTCACTGTGAGGGTGGTCAGGCACTGGAACAGGTTGCCCAAGGAAGCTGTGGCTGCTCCTCCCTGGAAGTGTTTAAGGCCAGGCTGGATGGGACTTTGAGCAACCTGGTCTAGTGGAAGGTGTCCCTGCTGATGGCAGGGGGGTTGGAACTGGATGATCTTTAAGGTCCCTTCCAACCCAAACCATTCTGTGATTCTATGAAAGTAAGCTTAGTAGTAAACTTCATAAGCTTAGTGAACTAGATGTCTAGCAGCTCAGGTCTATCATGACTGAGGTACCTTTAGGCATGACCTGCAGAACACGAGGCATGGAGAGAAACAAGTGATGTGTGTAGAGGTTTCAGGTGCCTCCAGGGCTGGGCTATAAATGGGGACACTGTGGAGTCGACACTGGAAGCTGGAGTTCAAGGAGTCATTAATGACTTGATCATTTATATATTTATTCATTTATATAATGTCAGTCTGTTCAAGCAAGGAACAAGGGACAGGACAAGAGGAAATGGCCTCAAGTTGTGCCCAGGGCAGTTGAGATTGGATGTGAGGAAGAATTTATTTGCTGAAAGGGTTCTGGGGCATTGGAAGGGGTTGCCCAGGGCAGTGGTGGAGTCCCCATCCCTGGAGGGATTGAAGAGTCGTGTAGACATAGTGCTGAGGGACATGGGTTAGTCATAGGGGACTTGTCAGTGTTGGGTTCATGATTGGATTCAGTGATGTTAAAGGTCTTTTCCAATCGAGGCAATTCTGGGATTTTCTGACTAAACCCTTCTGTGCATCTCTCTGTGTTCCCTGGGAGTTCCCTAGAAAATTTCTCTATGTGCTCTGGCCATTTTTTGCTTTCTAAATGGGAGAAAAAACACATTGAAAATTAAATCAGGCAGATATGGTTGAGAGCTCACATGAGCTTGAGGACTCCATGGCAGAGGTGGTATCTAACAGTAGTTCTGGTGAACTCTAAAGGGGATGAAGACCTGTATCAGTGCTATTCATTTATCATTTAATGTGTTTAATACAGCAGTTTCTTTAAAAATGCATTAAAGGGAAAACAAAAGAATTCTCTTTTGGTACAAAGTGCTGTTTCTTCTACAAGAGTGCTCGCTGCCTGAAGTGCTTATAATTATTTATTTGTATCAAATTATTTTTAATATTATATTTATTATCTTTATTATTATATTTATATATAAATTATATTTATATTAAATTATTTATAATTTTGTTACAGGTATCGACTGTGTGAGATCTATGCAGAAAGTTTTGCACAGAGGTGGCCAAAGAGTTCTCCAGACTGACTGTTGCATTTCAGAGGGCTAGAAGAAAACTAACATGCAAACCCTTTGAAAGAACAGAGAGAAGGACTTAAATATTAATACTGGTTTATCAACCTGGTATTTTTCCTGAAAAAAACAGTATAGATAAGAAGTTAATATAAAGCTCACTTCATTAATAAATGAACTTGCTTAATTTCATTTAAATTTTGAGGTAATGTAACTAATACCAATTACATGAATTTAAAGCAAATAGATACTGTCAAACAAACATTTTAGGTGAGACTGCACATTTAGTTGGCGGAGAGAACTGATGTAACAGACCTCTAAGAAATTAAAATAATCCAAAGTCCATGCATAACCATTGAACAGTGAAAACTGGCTGGCATTTCCAAATGCGGTGGCAACGAGGAACCATCATCAAACATGTTTTGGAGCCTGACTGTGTTATTTAACACTTTTTTTTTTTGAAGGTGTGGAAGGAAATGGAGAATTTGCATTGATGAAGTTCACAGAGGGTGCAGTGGCTGAGAAGCAACAATTACTGAAGGTGCTGAAGCCCTCATTCAAACCATCAGGATCTGCCGAAGCCCTCATTCAAACCATCAGGATCTGCTGAAGCCCTCATTCAAACCATCAGGATCTGCCGAAGCCCTCATTCAAACCATCAGGATCTGAATGTCTCAGGGAAAAATAATTACTAAAAAATAAAAGTGGGCATTCCAGCACAAGCAGGTGCAAAGGTGTGGATCTCAGCACGGAGGCCATCAAGAGAGTGAGAAGAAAAGGGAGCCAAGGAGTGTCAAAAAGACCTAGTACGTGGCTTAGGTGTGTGTTGCTGTGGCCAGAAGAACTAGTGTAATCACTGAATGCACAAGAAGCAAAAATGCAGGAGGACTACCTGGCACCACAGTGATTCTCACCAACCCACATGGCCCTCATTTCTAGAAAAATGTCCAGATCCTGAAGCTTCTGAGAGCTCCTGAGCTTCTCACCAAAATCTCCCTTGTTCTTCCCCCTCTTTGCTACCCCTGGTAGCCTGTCCCTCAAAGTGTTGTTTCTAAAGGGTTGTACCAGGGTGCCATGGTGAGGAGAGGAATCTCCTTAGGTGCCATGTGAACTCCTCCCACTCCAAATCCCGAATTATACCAGAAGTGAGACAGGACCAGGAAGCCCACCTTCCCTTGACTTGGTAACCACTTCTGGGGAACAGCTTCCCAGGTCCCCAGGAACACCCTTCCACCACGGTCACCTCGAACTTATCTCCTGAGCTTGCCATTCACATGGGGAGAGAGTCAAAAGCATCACCCATGTCCATGTGTGAGACAGCAAGTGTGTCCCCCCAAGTTTACAGGGACTGTTCTTCTCACCACAGAAGGGAATTACTCCACCTGCCACAGTCTGATGTTGTCAAATCTGTGCTGGCTGCTACTTACCACTATTCAGTCATTTGGTACTTTTCTGGAAGCCCACCAGGATCCTAAGGTATTTGGTGACAGCACCAAGATGGTATATACCAGTTCCTCAGGTCCTTTGGGGTAAATCCTGTTAGTTCAGATAATTTGTAAGCAGATATTCTTTGTACATAATTAGCGCTTCCCACCTCTGTGTTTTTATCCTGTTTTGACCAGTGTTGACTACTTTGACCATTTGTTAACAAGTAAACATTGAAACAACAAGACATTAAACATTCAGCGTCAGTTGTCCTCTATTTATTCATGCTATCCTAGAAA